AAACTTCAACTGCGTGAAATACACAGCAGTATGAAAATTCGGCTGCGTGAAACACACAAACTTCACGCATGCGTGGAGTGTATGGAGTGTACGGGAGTGATTCACGCAATGGTGCGAATAGTCACGGCCATAAAATAATCTGGAGACTAAAACGATTACGGGGTCAACTGCGGAAAAGATACGCAGAATAATGACACAGTCAGGACAATCACAAGGGTCGAACAAGCATGAATTAAAAGACATAATCAGAAGGCTCCCCAGTTTGATCCTGATGATTGTTCTGCCTACCTCGTCGTTTTACCCTATACCATTTGATCTACCCTATACTATTTGATGCGTACCATTTGATCTACGCATGATGACCCTGTTAGCGTTCACGTCCCGTGCTTGGTAGGATCCTTGCAAGGTCTGACCCTGCACTGAGAAAAAAATCTCCCGAAAATTGGTGTGCTGTCCCCCAACGCCGGGACATAACATGGGGTCGTTGAAAAATTCATAAGTGGCACCCTAATTTTTGGTGGGACTCCGGCCACTTTTTCGGGGGATTCCCGTAAAAATTAGTGTGCCACATGCGAATTCTCCGATGACTCGCTGTTATGTCCCAGCGTTGGTGAACAGCACACTAATTTTTGGAAGGATTCTCACAAAATTACGATGTATTTTTTTCTCCGTGTGGCGATGTTTGACTCTCGCAACGTTTGACACTCGCAAGACAAAATGGGCGAGCTTTCTCATTATATTGCTCGATCTATAGTGGTTCTCCTATTTTCCAATTTTCATACTCACGAGACCGAGACAAGGCCGAGAAGTGACGAGACGATACTCTTTAAAGTCTCATCCTGTCTCGTCTCGTGCGTAACTTAACTTCTAGCCTCGTTTAGCCAACGTATTCACAGTTTTGGAAAAACTGTAGAAAACCCTAAAGACGGTGGCCAAATGTGGTGACACGTGGTGGCAAAGCAGTGGCCGACGTTAGACCGAATTTCGAATAATAAGTAAATAACAAATGCCGGTGTGGTAACGTCGGACGTCATTTTGTTTTTTTTACATTCTGCTTTTTTTACATTCTGTTTTGCTAGAGATAATTTTCCAGATAATTTAATAATTTTATTCAAATTTAAAAAAAAAATCATGAAAGAAATGAAAAAAATGACCGAGCATAAAAATGACGGTCAGATTACATCTAGATAGACGTTTTTTCAGCATAAATGACAACGAGAAACAATTACTGACCATTAGGTAAGTTGACCGACTAGTTTGTATCACGAGGAATGCGTCAAGTCAGAAATGGTGAGAAAACGGAAAATTTACGGCTGACTTGACGCATATCAGTAGTCGAACTGACGCCAGCAGATTTAAAGAAATATGCTCAAAGGATATTTTTAGGGTTCCGAAATGTTCCTGGAAAAAAAACGCTAGATCTCTTGTTAATTTTTTGTCAACCTCTACCTTTCCAAGATATTTGTTGAATAATCTATAAAAATGTTTTCCACTTTTCCAATTTTACTACTGGATTTAATTCGTAATAATGCAACTTACCGGGTTTCCTGCGCGAGCTCCAGAGCACGGGAGGATGCGCAGTTGCGGCGGCAGGCGCAGCAGCAACGACGGGGTTACCGGCAGAGGCAGCCAGCTTGACTGCGTTCCGCGAACCTGTAATTATAATAACACCATTTTTCATTTTTCATTGCCTCAGCCATGAGTTATTATTAAGCAGATATATTGATTCACAATTAATCACCACGTGATAAATAAAACGTTGCAGTGATAGTTAACTCGCTAAATTGATAATTATCATGAACCTTTCAATTTTCACCTCGTGGCTTTTATTTTTATAATCAATAATAGTTGGGATTAAAAATAGACTGCTGGTAGGAAGGTGGGGTTCAACATGAAGATCCAGTAGCATTGACTGTTGTGTCCCGCGTGGGATCTAACAACGTTTCATAAACATTCGTTATTGCGAATTTTTTTTCATGTCACGGGAGCTAAAAAAACCCATTTCCCATTTCCCAGATCACCCTCCCCCACGTGTTTGCCATCCTCGCCTTCGGCTCGGAAGGCAATCTTGCACGTGGGGGACGGTGATCGATTTCCAAGGCTCGGGCATGTAATATACTATTTCTTGAGAAGACTTAGCACCTGGTGCTCAACAGGTGTCCAAACTTCTATGGGTACATGTCCGGAATTGACATTCCCTGACGAGTTTTACTCTGTGAATAAATAGGTGGTTCTAGAAACTAAATTTTTTGACTGTAAAGTGTTTTTGGTGTTAAGTTACGCTCTCCTTATCTTTGAGTTTCTAGGGTTTTCCGGTATTTGTTGATGTTTATAATTCCATGAGTTGAAGCTGTTTCCGACATAAAAACCACTGGTTATCTCCACAAAAGGATGAGGATTCATTATGGACAAGTAATTATTTTTTTATTTTTTTATTCATATTTCATTCAACTACCATTACGGTTTTATAGGCGCCTCGCTTCGTTAGCCTGTTATGCCTCTCCTTCTCTCCATTGTTTTTCCCTCTCCAATAATAAAAATAGGTAAAAAAAATAACGCGTTTGTAACATTTCTGAAAATTATTTGTTCGTCCATGCATTGTATACTGTTTTGTCAGTTACAAATTACTATACGTTCAATCGTAAAAAAATTATTTAACATCGTAAACGTTCGGTTAGAATAAATCAATTTTTTAAGTTTTTCTGGTATGGTGCTCGATTACTATGTTCACACAGTAGTTTTTAATTTAATATTCTTTGCGTGTAGCGCCAGCAGTTCCACGCGTAGAAGTAGCTAAGCGGACACCCATCCACGTACTAACCGCACACTTCCCGTGTGACCACTACTGTCACTTTTTGTAATGGAGAAACTATTTTCCTGTCTTAGTGTTTAGATTGAATTTCATAATTATCTAGAAAATTAGCGTAATAAATGAGTTGATAATTGCAAAGAGCTGACAGTATGCATAGAATTTTGCTCATGAATTAGACATTTTCTTTCAAATGCATTCAAAGAGACAGATTTGGTAGAACTAATTCGTGTTCAGATCGCGAATTTGATTGGAAGAATCCAGAACGTTAGAAATGAATTTGAACCTAGTTGAAACAATTCATAATATTATAGGTGCACACACGTTGATATACGGGACTTCCCGCAAGGGAGTGGTGTTTATACTGCTCACCGAGTAATTCCACCCACCCGTATTTTTCATGATTGGTTGAGAGAATTTTTTTTATGATATGGAAAATGAGATTTCATTTACTAAGATAATGATTTAATGAGATATTTAGATATTTAATGGCAAAAAGTAATTTTAATAGAAATTTTCAGTTTTCTTTCGTAAAGAGATCATTTTAAAAAATATAAATGATTTTCTACCGAATTCATAAAATATTCTACTTCTAGACCCATGTAGAAATCTCTCCGCTCAATCCCCACTTGCTATACAGTCAAGCCGGAGCTGAGCGGTCGATTCGAGCGCGTGAGCGGAGTTTCAGCCGCATCTGCGCTTGAATTCCGACACAACAGGTCAAAGTTTTTCAAATTTTCGGTTGCTCTAGGTACACGGAGATAAATGTTCAGTAAAAATTACGGAACTCTCACTTCACTCACCGATTACGGAATCGACTCAGGAAATTCAAGTGACGGTATCGTAATTTTTCACAAGAGATTCAGATAAAAATTACGGAACGCTCCGGAAAAATTCCGTGACAGTTCCGTAAAATTTCCTACAACCACATTTCGCTCCGGAATTACGGAAATTACGGAAAATACGTAATTTTCATTGAATATTTCTCTCCGTGTATAGTAGAATGAAGTGCGAAATATATGTTCGTAATATAAGTTACACATCACGTACATGTATGTACTTGCAAGTTCATAGTTTGTGTGAAACATACAGAAAGTTATCGACAATGTGTTTAACTTATCTTTTCTAGTGATTCATTCTTACACGTAAGGAGACCGATCAGTCTTACCACTAGGTGGGCGGTATTGGAGACATGCCGAGCGGTAATACCCCCAAAGTTCAATTACATCGCTCAAGTGTGAATGGCAACCAAACTGCATAGTTTTATATGTCCAATATTAATAAAAAATCTGTTCTGTTCACATCTTGGAGTAAACACCTCAAAGAACCCATTCTAACTGTTCATTATTCCGCAAATAGTGCGACAATGTAAAAAGAGAAAGATTTCCCTTAGATCGGTACATGTACCAGCTACCCTACGTGACATTCCCCCATGAAACAATGGTAGTTTTTGAAAATGAATAAATCCGGATTGTTGAAGTCCAAGTTATTGGAATTGAGATAAATCGAAAATCGACTAGAATCAATTCGACATTGACTTGAATCAGTCCTTTTCCTTTTTGGGTGTGTCGAGGAAAGCATCTAGTATGAAACCTAAACGGGCCTAATATTATAAAAATTTATAATTTATTATGATGCGGTCGCAATTTTTAAGTTGAGAAATAATATATTTCGAGTGTAGCGGTAGGATTGGTCACACGTGTGGCGTGCGGCTCCGGCGGTCGTCCAAGCTAAGCAGTGTTTAAGGTACTTCCTCAGTCAGTTATACGAGAACAGTCAAAATATACAAAAAATGTGAAACTTTGCGAAAAAATTCTTGAAATAGTCAAAAATGTCTTGCAAGGAGTCCAAATACAATTGACCTCTCAGTCTTTTGTAAAAAACTATTCAAAATATCATCTGTACAGCGGCTTATGAGAGTTACTTTTCAACTGTCTAGTATAAGCATCGACAATGTACGAACAATGCAAGTATCCGATTTACACCGTCGAACACATTCCAAGAGTATATTTCTGCAAGTTCATAATTTATTACCGCACAGATTTTGAGAAATCATTGAAAATGTATCACAGGATCATGAATTTTCTTTAAACTAGGGAAAAATGGCGGTGTAACCTGACAACGGTGGGAGAAAGTTAGAATGCACAGGGTTAGTTCGACTGTAGGTCCTATAGTAAATAAGCAAAGCTACTATAGCGTAGTATAGGTTCATATCGATGGACAATAACACCAACTTTGTCTAACGAAAATGCCTTGTTGCCCGATCTCTCACGATAGTTTCAATTTATTAATAAAATCATTCAAAAAAAATGGGGATAACAATAGTTGTCGTTTGAATAATTGAGTCATAAACAAATCATTGATAAACCTTTAAAATTTTCATTTTTTTTCGAATGATGTAGCGGAGTGTCGGCACCTTTGATGTTTACCCGTACTCTATACCCCAAAATTAGACTGAGGAAGTACCTTAATCTGGTTAGTACTCAGATGGGTGACCGCTTAGCCCTACCTTCTCGTGAGAAACTGCTGCCGTCAGGCGTGAATGTAGAGACCTGCTGTACCCATTCAGTCAGTGTGACAGATGAGCACAATAGGACCCTGCCATATCGGCCGGCTGTACAACCGGGGTTTTCCATGGTTTTCCTTGCAGTCCTAGCCCGAATGGGATGCAGTTGGGTAAAGAATGAGACGGGCCATGGTAATGTAGATATGGGGGAAAAAATATGTAAAAGTCCGAAAGGTCATACATGCCTGGAATAAAAAAAATAAAAAAAATTGTATATTTCGAGTTTGCCACTGGATATGAAAAGAGTAATTATTTTAGAAATTCTAGAAGAGCCTATTCTCGTAGAAGCATGTGAATTTTCAAAATTATCCTACGACGTAGGTTTGTTCTAAGTAGGCGGCATCGGGAACACTGATTGTAGAGTGTATCGACTCGCAATTTCATAATATTAATCGAAATCGTACATTATGAGATCAAAGTTTATCATTACTCTTAGAGGGACAGTTGAAAACCCATTTTCCGAAAAATATAAATGTCGTTGGGAATTATAAGAGAAAATATATTTACCACGGTGGGATTGGCATGCGGGAGACTCGGGTTTGATCCCCGGTTGGGGTGGCCAAAATTTGTGACACTCTAAATCTCACGGTTTCATTTGTCGAACGGGAGTCTCGCAAGAGACGACTGGATTGAGGGAAAAACCTGGGCAGGTTTTTCCCTCAAGTGAGGGTTTCCCCTGTCCTTCGGCGAATGCAATACAGGCGGTGGGGGAGGGGGGACAAATAGTAAAGACCCGAAAGGGTATACGAGAGAAAAAAATTTTTTGTTTTATATTTGTCACGGAGGAATCTTCCAATACCTATGGGGATACATATCGACACTCGCATACACAAATACAACTATCATCCCAAACCATTCTAACGCAGAATTGCGAATTCCAGTATTTTGATAATAACAATGCTTTCAACAACACATTTTCGAAGAAACTGTGGAAATAAGGCTTATAATTCTGATGTTCTTGAGTGGTTTCTCCTGACATTTAGCTGGATGCAGTATTCTAAATAAATCCGAGCACCCTCCACGTAAATTTTCAAAGTTAATTATATCCCTAAGTCATCTGAACTCGTGTACGGGCACGCGACACTTATTTTCATCACGTCTATAAGGCTGATAGGCAGCGTTTTCGTACTTATTTACCATACCCGAAGGCATACGGTATGACGTACCACATGTTTTCTCGTTCACGGATGCGTTGTTATTTTTCATTTTCCTCCAGTCACTAGAGAATTATTATTAACACAAATATTTCACTCCTTGTCAGTTGTTAGGTTTTTTCTC